TCCGCCGAGCCGTGAGGTCGGGGTGCGACGTGCGAAGGTGGCGGGAGGATTGTCGATGTGAGTGTTGCGAGTGGTAACGGTGCTGACTGTGGTGCTACAGTGGTGTACGCGCTGAGCGGGGACACGAAGTATGGAAAAGGAATTTTCCTTACAACTACCTACCATAACATGCCCTTACACACAGCTGCTGGTGATCAAGCTGGGAATTGCTTCTTCATGGCTGATGGAGGTGGGTATGCATGCATAATAAACTACCTACCCTAAATATCAGAAAACCATGTCAGCATCTGTTTGCGACCCATTCAACAGGTAGCCCATTCCCTGAAGCACAAAAATCAATAACTAGTCATACGTATGCTTCGCAGGCTGTATCACAGAAAACAAAGGAAGAGACTGAATCCAGTTCTCACATTACTGACTAGAAAAGTATCTAAACAAAGGGAACATAGAGTTTATTATGTCACTGAATTCAATCAGAGGTTGTGCATGAGGCCAAAGCAACTACTCCCAACACCCACCATCCCAAGCGCAATCCTCCAAGACGGAGACTATCCGATCCGTCTGTCCCTTCGACACACCCAAAAAGTTAAGCTGAAACACGGTGTCACTACCGCCAATTACAGGTTGTGCATGAGGTCAAAGCACCCACTCCCAACATCCACCACCCTCCCAAGCGCAATCCTCGACGACGGAGACTCCATCCGATCCGTCTGCCCCTTGGACGCCGCATTAATCAAAAACTTGGTCGCCGTCTCAAAACTCATCTTCAGAATCGGCGACGGGTTCGCGTCAATCCCGTTACGGTTACACGCGCGGTAACCGCCATCATACGTCATAAAATCCGCAATCAGACCCAAATGCCTCGGGTCCACCGCGATCCCGTACATCCCGAACACGCCCCGAACCTCCTTCACGATCGTCGCGCGCGCAGCCTCCACGCCAAGCGTTGTCAGAACCGCCGCAATGTGATTCGTCGAGAGCCGATTCAGATCGAGCACTCCCTCATCATCGTGCTTCCCCATGGTTGATACGGCGAGGTTCCAGAGGCCGGGGAAGTTGAGCCCCTCGACTTGGATGCGGGGGGGCTGGCCGGGGGAGGCTGGATCCAAGGCAGCACAGCGCTGCACTCCTGGCGTGGCCCGCACCACCACTGCTGCTGCCACCTTGTCTACAATCTGGCGAGAGAGAGAGAGAGAGAGGGTGATAGGGGGTTGGGGTTGGGAGAAAGCGAGAGCGAAGGTGATTTGAATCGCGGGATGCGGCATAGCATGTTGGGGAATGAGGTTCCAGAGGCCGGGGAAGGGGAAGTTGAGTCCCTCGACGTGGATGCGGGGGGGCTGGCCGGGGGAGGCTGGATCCAGAGCAGCACAGCGCTGCACTCCCGGGGTTGCCCGCACCACCACTGCCGCTGCCACCTTGTCTACGATCTGGAGAGAGAGAGAGTGAGAGAGAGGGCGATGGGGTGGGGGTTGGGAGAACGGGGAACGGGTGTGGAGGGAAGGGAAGGAGAGGGGAATAGCAGCGGATGGTGATTGGGATGGCATGACACGGAGGTTAGCCGGGGAAGTTGAGTCCCTCGACTTGGATGCGGGGCGGCTGGCCGGGGGATGCTGGTTCCAGGGCAGCACAGCGCTGCACTCCCGGGGTTGCTTGCACCACCACTGCTGCTGCCACTTTGTGAACGATCTGGAAGGATTGGGTGAAAGGGAGCAGAACGGTGGGAAGTTGAGTCCCTCGACTTGGATGCTTTTGAGTCCCTCGACTTGGATGCTTTTGAGTCGACTCAAAGGCGGCTGGCCTGGTTGGGGAGGCTGGTTCGAGAGCGGCGCAGCGCTGCACTCCCGGCGTGGCTCGCATCACCACTGCTGCTGCCACCTTGTCAACGATCTGGAGGGAGAGAGGGAGTGATGGGGTTGGGGTTGGGAGAAAAGATACATTGGTCATAAACACAGGTCCACCTCGCTACAAGCACAACCTGGCCTCGTTATAAGAACACTCTCTCACCTCATGGATGAGAACAGCGGGTGACGTCACCGGCACTGACAGCTCCATCTGCATCCACGTGTCGCCACCTGTCACCGTCGCCACCGCCACCTGCTTTTCCTTCCTCCTCTTCCTCGTTTTCTTCTCCCCCTCTTGCCCTGCCCCTTTCTCCCCTTTCTTTGTCTTCTTCGCCTTGCTATCCTTCTTCTTCCTCCCCTTCCCTCCTGCTACTGCTGCTCCTGCTGATTCTGCAGCAGCTGCTTTACCCGCTCCCACCTCCTCTTCTTCTTCCTCGTCTTCCTCTTCCTCCTCTTCGTCCTCCTCTTCCTCCTCTTCCACCTTTACTTTACCACCATTACCAGGCCCTTTCTTAACAGAGGCCTTACCCTCCCCCTCTGCCTGCTCCACCCCCTCCTCTCCCTCTGCCGCTTCCTCCTCCTCTTCCTCCTCTTCCTCTTCCTCTTCCTCCTCTTCCTCCTCCTCTTCCTCCTCATATTCCTGTTCATCATCCCCCTGCCCCCGCTCCTTCTCAGCATCCTTCCCATCCTCCTCCCCTCCCTCCTCCTCTTCCTCCTCTTCCTCCGCCTCCCCATCCACCATCCCTCCCTTCTTCCCTCCCTCTTTCCCTCCTTTCCTCTTCCCCTCCACCTCCCCTTCCCCCTCCCCATCCTCCCCTTCTCCCTCACCCCCTTCCTTCTCCCCACGACCCTCAGCCATCACAACCACACCCCCACCTCCAGCCCGATCCAAAGCCCTCTCCAGAGCTTTCCCGACCCTGGGAGCAAACTCGTAACTGAACGCGGCCTTGATTTCTTCAAACTTGAGGTCAAGATCGGCAGGGTAGCGGCTGGTGGGGTGGAAGGCCAGGCGAATGATGTAGCGCCTTGAGTTGCGATCTCCACCGTTGATCTGCACCAGATTTGTGCGCTCTGACACATGGATGGCTGAGATCAGTTCGGCCATTGTGATCCGACGGAGCTTGTTGGCTATGTGCTGGGCGTCCTCACTGGAGGGAGGGAGGTGGAAGGGGATGGAAAAGGGTGGAAGGAGGTGGAAGGGGGATGGTTGGAAGGGGTTGGAGGGGGGTGGAAGGAAACGGGCTGATGTTGCTCGACTTACACAGACTCAAAGTGAAGGGACAAGTACTCTAGAAGTGAAAGAATTCATGGGTGTGAAACAACGGGCCTTCACTACACGACCCACAGAACCACTCACAGGGTGCGGCCTGGCAGCAGAGGGCAGTCCATGACAGGCGTGGAGATGTTGTGAGGGGCATATATAGCTTCACAGGCGAACTCAGAGAGAATTCCGCAGCAAAGGACTCACAGGGTGCAGCCGGGCAGCAAGGGGCAGTCCATGACAGGCGTGGAGATGTTGCGAGCAGCTGTCATGAGGATTTGAGACGTCTCAAAACTCTCTCAGCCGGGAATGCCCGGAGTGAATCACACACGAGCACAAGGCACTCACAGGGTGCGGCCGGGCAGCAGAGGGCAGTCTATGACAGGCGTGGAGATGTTGTGAGGGGCACATATGGCCTTAACAGACAGACCCACTGAGAGACCCACACACGACCCGCAATGCACTCACAGGGTGCGGCCGGGCAGCAAGGGGCAGTCCATGACAGGCGTGGAGATGTTGCGAGCAGCGGTCATGAGGATCTCACGCAGGCGGGGAATGCCGAGAGTCACGTTCGCCTCTCCTCGCCCTGCGAAGTGGAACGTGTTCAGCCTGGGGTGGGGGGAGGGGGGTTGTGTGGAATGGGAAATGTGTGACCCCACAAGAAATTACAGCAAGACAGAACCATGTGTGGCATGGCATGGCAACCATCTAGTTCCAAGAGTCTTATTTGTTTCATCCCACCAGGAACATGTTGCAGTGCGGTGCAGTCCAGTGCAGTGGTGCCTTGCCTATGTGGAACATGCTCAGCCTCAGCACCCGCGGCAGCTAGCCACTCGCGTCATCTGTGTGGAGGGCTCCCCGACTGAATGAGCCGCCAGCACCCCCAGGGTATACAGACTGACATATTGCCTTTCACTCATGCCAACCCTGCACTCACGTCATCTGTGTGGAGGGCTCCCCAACTGACTGAGCCGCCAGCACCCCCACCGGCTCCCCTGGCTGCACAGTAGACGCCAGGTACTTCATCTCCAGCACCTCTCTCAACCGCTCTGCATCCTTCTTCTTCCCCTTCTTCCCGGCTCCCTTCGCGCCCTTCCCCAGAACCGCCGACTGCAGAAACTTCTCGGAAGCAGCTTCAAAGGCGGGGGAAACGACACCGAGTTTCGACCCTGGGCACTCCACATCCATCACCTCTGCTGCCTCTGTTGCTGTTTCTGCTGGGTCTGCAGTGGCGCGAGGAGGCATTGTCTCAAGGCCGAGAGTTTTGGCTTCGTCCAAGCGGAGGGCCGAAGCCACCTGTTGCTCATTCTGTTGTTTGGGGGGTTTCAGGGTTTCAGATAGGGGAGGGGTGGGGTTTGTTGGGTCAGTGGCGGTGGCACGGGTTAGCATTGTCTCGAGGCCGAGATCCTTAGCTTCGTCCAGGCGGAGGTCCGATGCCACCTGTTGCTCATTCTGTTGTTTGAGGAGTTTTAGGGTTTGGGTTCCATACAGGGTTTCAGGGTTTCACAGAGGAGAGAAGAGGGAGGGAGGGAGAGAGGGACGGAGGGAGGGAGGGGGGGAACAGAGGAAAATTTTGCGTTTTTTTTCAATTGCCCCACTACAAGAACGCACAGCACACACACAGAGCATGTATCACAAACCTCCTTGATGAATTCAAAGTTGGTGAGGAACGACGTCCGGCTGGTGTCAATGGCATCTTCTCCGTATCGGAACTGCACGATGGATGCATCGCTGTCCCGCACGCTGTAGTCGTAGTGCACTCGCAGGCCCTCCAGGTTCTTCACCAGGCACCGCTGCAGGTACCCACTGCGGGAGGTCTTGACTGTGGTGTCGACCAGGCTGGGGGAAAGTTAGGGGCGCGCACAAGGGGTTCGGGGAATGGAAGGCAGGGACAAGACGATAAGGGCATGCCTCTCACGCTGTAGTCGTAGCGCACTCGCAGCCCCTGCAGGTTCTTCACCAGGCACCGCTGCAGGTACCCACTGCGGGAGGTCTTGACAGTTGCGTCCACCAGTCTGGGATTCATGGGGCAAGCATAAGGGGAATGAGGGGGACAATGGAGATGAGGCATGCAGCATAAGTGCGCTGTCCCACACGCTGTAGTCATAATGCACCCTCGGCCCCTGCAAGTTCTTCACCACGCACCGCTGCAGGTACCCACTGCGGGATGTTTTTACTGTCGTGTCCACAAGGCTGGGGTTTGAAGGGATAATTGGGGGGAAGATAGGAACGGGAGGCATGGACTCACTCGCCCGTCTCTACCATATTCCTGCACGTGCAGCAGACCCGTCAGAAATCTGTCCGCAATGAACCTGCCCGCCCTCGCCTCAATTTCCATCGCACAGAGACCCACCATCTACCAGCATTCGCTCACACTCACGCACTCACCCGTCTCTGCCTGCCATGCAGTGAAAGTAATACTCCTGCGTGCGCAACCCAGTCAGAAACCGATCTCGCGATGAACCCGCCTGCTCTCGCCTCGCTGCTCCACGCCTCAAAGTACGGCAGAGTCTTCCCCAACGCCATGCGCGGCACTCGCCGCCCCTCCAGCTCCTGCTGCCCCAGCAGGTGAAGCAGCTCTCACCTGCTCCTTCTCACAGCCCTTACCTTACTCACTACATGAACCAGCAGCACTTGGGCACCCACCCGTCGCGCCCTGCCATGCAGTGAAAGTAATACTCCTGCGGGCGCAAACCAGTCAAAAACCGATCCGCAATGAACCTGCCTGCTCTGGCCTCGCTGCTCCACGCCTCAAAGTACGGCAGAGTCTTCCCCGACGCCATCCTTGGCGCTCGCTTCCCCTACAGCTCCTGCTGCCCCAGCATTGACAGCACTACAGCGCCACACTAAACAGCAACACTCGCTCACACACGCACACACGCTCACACACTCACAGTTACACACTCACTCACCCGTCTCTGCCTGCCATGCAGTGGAAGTAGTACTCCTGCGGGCGCAACCCAGTGAGAAACCGATCCGCGATGAACCCGCCCGCTCTGGCCTCGCTGCTCCACGCCTCAAAGCAAGGCAGAGTCTTCCCCGACGCCATTCTTGGCACGCGCTTCCCCTCCAGCTCCTGCTGACCCAGCAGCACCGCAATCTGGTTGAAATTCACGCCGCTGCCCTTGGCGCCCGTGACCGTCATCAGCGACATGCAATTGGCCGGGAAAGGTTTCAGCTGCCCGTCGGGCAGCGCGGCGGAGGTTGCGGCGGTGGTGACCTTGCTGAGGGCGGAGGTCATTCGGTTGTCGAGCGCTGCTGTGGCGGCATCCTTCCGCGTGCGCAGCTGCAGGGCCACGTGCTCCCTCACCCACTCCTTGTTTGCAGCTGCGAAATGGCGGAAGGAAACCAAAGTGGAGAACAGGGGAAGGGGAAGCAAAGGGCAAAGGGAAAGAGAAGGGGGAGGGAAAAGGGGAAGGGGGAGGGGAGGAAAAGGGGAAGGGAGAGGGCAAAGGGGAAGGGAGAGGGCAAAGGGGAAGGGGGAGGGCAAAGGGGAAGGGGGAGGGGAGGACAAAGGGGAAGGGAGAGGGGAGGGCAAAGGGGAAGGGGGAGGGGAGCAAAAGGGGAAGGGAGAGGGGAGGAAAAGGGAGGGATGGTGAGTGAGAAAAGGCAGAGGTTGCGGTTGTTGTGGAGACCTTACTGTAGAGTAACTAATGCTGTCCCCAATGCTGTCCGCCCGCGATATGATTGCAATAGTTACTGTAGAGTAACTACTGAGACTCACTCTCGGCCTTCTTCCCAGTGAGCCCAACAAATTGAGCGTGCACCGGGTCCCCAATGCTGTCCGCCCGCGATATGATTGCAATAGTTACTGTAGAGTAACTACTGAGACTCACTCTCGGCCTTCTTCCCAGTGAGCCCAACAAATTGAGCGTGCACCGGGTCCCCAATGCTGTCCGCCCGCGATATGATTGCAATAGTTACTGTAGAGTAACTACTGAGACTCACTCTCGGCCTTCTTCCCAGTGAGCCCAACAAATTGAGCGTGCACCGGGTCCCCAATGCTGTCCGCCCGCGATATGATTGCAATAGTTACTGTAGAGTAACTACTGAGACTCACTCTCGGCCTTCTTCCCAGTGAGCCCAACAAATTGAGCGTGCACCGGGTCCCCAATGCTGTCCGCCCGCGATATGATTGCAATAGTTACTGTAGAGTAACTACTGAGACTCACTCTCGGCCTTCTTCCCAGTGAGCCCAACAAATTGAGCGTGCACCGGGTCCCCAATGCTGTCCGCCCGCGATATGATTGCAATAGTTACTGTAGAGTAACTACTGAGACTCACTCTCGGCCTTCTTCCCAGTGAGCCCAACAAATTGAGCGTGCACCGGGTCCCCAATGCTGTCCGCCCGCGATATGATTGCAATAGTTACTGTAGAGTAACTACTGAGACTCACTCTCGGCCTTCTTCCCAGTGAGCCCAACAAATTGAGCGTGCACCGGGTCCCCAATGCTGTCCGCCCGCGATATGATTGCAATAGTTACTGTAGAGTTACTACTGAGACTCACTCTCGGCCTTCTTCCCAGTGAGCCCAACAAATTGAGTGTGCACCGGGTCCCCAATGCTGTCCGCCCGCGATATGATTGCAATAGTTACTGTAGAGTTACTGAGACTCACTCTCGGCCTTCTTCCCAGTGAGCCCAACAAATTGAGCGTGCACCGGGTCCCCAATGCTGTCCGCCCGCGATATGATTGCCTCTCGCTCCGCCTCTGCCGGGGCTGTTAACAGCAAATCGCCCACGCCGCAGGTAAACCCGCGGATCTGAACATACATGAAGGGGTTGGGGAGGGGTGCGGTAGTGTAAGGGGGGAAACCAGGTTGGGGGTCAAAGACATGCGTCAGCCGCAGATTGCCCACCCTGCATATGAACCTGCGAATCCGGCGCAAAGAGTGAGGTGGGAGGTGGGAAGAGCCGCAGAGATTGCCCACCCTGCATATGAACCTGCGAATCATACAGATCTGAGGCGGAGTGGAGAGTGAGGTGGGAGGTGGGAAGAGCCGCAGAGATTGCCCACCCCGCAGATGAACCTGCGAATCATACAGATCTGAGGCGGAGTGGAGAGTGAGGTGGGAGGTGGGAAGAGCCGCAGAGATTGCCCACCCCGCAGATGAACCGCACACAAATCAAAGCAATAATAACAATACTAATATTAGGATTAAGCTCTTACCTGCAAGAAGGTGGTAAGGAGGCGGCTGAGCGAGGAGAGCAGCTTGCCGGCAGCAGGGCAGCCGTAGAGCTCCTGAAAGCAGTGCACGAGGCCGTAGCGGGCGAACTGCGCCTTGTCAAACACCCCTGTCACCACCTCGCCGCCCCGCACCTGGTTGGGACATTTGGAGGGCGGTGATTTGTTCGGCAAAATGTGAGGATGCATTGGCTTGAGTGATCGAACTAACAGCTGCTCACCAGCAGAGGAGGTGCATTTTCCTCCCGTCTGCTAGCCCTTTACTTCTGCAGCTAAGGTATCTTGTCACGTGCAAAGTCACATTCTCCTGCCACCTCCTCGCCCGCAGGGTCTTATCTCACCCAAAGAGTGGTGTCTTCCACTATCGTCCAGCACTCTGCTCTTGCAGCCACACACCAGGTGACTTTTGAGTCGACTCAAAAGTCATCTGCTGGTGGGGTGGTTGGTGCAGACGGACTTTTGAGTCGACTCAAAAGTCACCTCCTCGCCCGCAGGGTCTTATCTCATCCGAAGAGTGTGGTGTGTGTCTTCCACTATCGTCCAGCACTCTGCTCTTGCAGCCACACACCACACTCACCCGCAGTGTCGTTTTGAGGCACCTAAGAGCGAAACTAGTTCTGAGGCGCCTCAAAACTACACCCCAAGGTCCGAAGGTCTCATCTGACTTGCAAGTGTGATCATCAGTCTGTCATGTCATCTTTCCAGCACTCTGCTCTTGCAGCCACACACCACACTCACCCGCAGTGTCGCGTCCTCCTGCCGGCCCTTCCCCCAATAGCGCGCCGACACCTTGCACGCCACCTCCATTGTCATTGGTTGCTGCCCCTCCGTCAGCAGCTGCAGCAGCGCCGTGATCACCTGGGAGGAGAAGGGGAGGGAGAGGAGTGAGCACGGGAGGAGAGCATGGGAGTGGAGAAGGGGAAGAAAAGGCATGAGAGGAGGGGAAGAAAGGGGGAAGAAAAGACCACCTTGCACGCCACCTCCATTGTCATTGCCTGCTGGCCCTCCGTCAGTCAGCAGCTGTAGCAGCAGCGCCGTGATCACCTGGGGAGGCGGGGAAAGAGAGGAAGGAGCTGCCAAAAAGCGGAGAACGGGAGAGGAAAATGGGAGCAGCCAGCAGAGAGAGAGTTGAACAAACTGTCACACTTGCCGACGAAAAAAAAAAACAAATCTCACAATGCCCTCATTCGTTCCTGCATGCCATGTGGGCATATACGCTTTGGACAGTGAGCGTCCAGCGTATATGCGCTAGTGTCCAGCGTATATGCGCTAGTGTCCAGCGTATATGCGCTAGTGTCCAGCGTATATGCGCTAGTGTCCAGCGTATATGCGCTAGTGTCCAGCGTATATGCGCTAGTGTCCAGCGTATATGCGCTAGTGTCCGTACGCTGGACGCTGAACGCTCGTTGGACGCTGAACGCTCGTTGGACGCTGGACACTCGGAAAAGTATGGTATTTTGCCGTCGACCCCCTCTTTCCGCCATCTCTCCCCATTCTTTTCTCCCTGCCCGGAAAAACATTTCACCTGCCCGCCCCAAGCGTCCAGGCCCAGACATCGGAGCGTCCAGCGTATATACGTCAGCAACTGGACGCTGGCGCATAGGACGCTGGATGCGTCCATGTCCACATAGCTGCATGCTCACCTGCTTGCCAGTCCACAGCGGCTGCGGCTTCAACACAGCAGGGTGCGGCATGGTGATGGCAGCAGCACCAGTACCCTTGTTCCTTTGCCCTCCCCTCCTCCTCGCCCTCACCTGCTCCATCCCCACGCTCACCAGCTCTCCTCTCCCTCACCAGCTCTCCCCACGCTCACCAGCTCTCCCCACACTCACCTGCTTGCCAGTCCACAGCAGGTGCGGCTTCAACACAGCAGGGGGCGGCATGGTGATGGCAGCACCGGGATCAGAAAGAGCGCGGATTCTGGGCGCTGCTTTTGTGCCTGCTGCTGCTGCTGCTGCTGCTGCTGCCATGCCCACTGCTGCCTGCTCCACTGCTGATGCGGCTGCTGGTGCGACAGTGGCGGTAGCGGAAGCAGGGGGGACGGCGGTTATGGTGGTGGTGGCAGTGGTGGTGGCGTCAGCAGGAGGTGGACTGACAGCCGCAGTACCAGGAGCAGCAGCGGCGGGAACAGCAGCAGCAGCAGCAGCAGCACCATCAGCAGCAGCTGTTGCACCAGCAGCACCAGCGACAGCAGGAGCGGCAGTGGCGGGTTTGGCAGGGGGGGATTGGAAGGGGGTGTCGGGGGGTGGGATGCAGGCGGAGAAGAGCAGGTGCTGGAACTCTGTGCGCGTGAGCAGCGTTCCTGGTGAGGTGAGGAGAGTTGCTGCTATGATGTGGTCCTGACGGGAATAAGTGTGGGAGAGAGTAAGTAAGCAGAAGGGAGAAGAGGAAAGACATGTGAATGGGCAGGCGGAGAAGAGCAGGTGCTGGAACTCTGTGCGCGTGAGCAGCGTTCCTGGTGTGGTTAGAAGTGTTGAAGCGATGATGTGATACTGAGGGGGAGGGGAGAGCGGGAAGGAGGCAGGGGGGGGGGGGGGGGGAGGAGAAATGCATGTGAGGGAGCGTGCTGGAACACTGTCACAAGCGATCTCTAAGCACTGCTGCCCTTCCAAGCATGAGTGACGACGGCCCATGTGAGGGCGCGTGCTGGAGCAGGCGGAGAAGAGCAGGTGCTGGCACTCTGTGCGCGTGAGGAGCGTTCCGGGTGATGTGATGTGAGAAGAGTAGCTGCTATAATGTGGTCCTGATGTGGTGGGTGTGGGGGGGACGAAGGGGAGGAGGGGAGAGAGGAAGGGAAGAGTTTGGGCAGGTAGAGAGTATGAGGCTGTGTGTGAGTTGACAGAACACACGGATACAACCTTCCCCACCAGGACCCTCACCTGAATGAGCCCTCTGGCAGGCAGGCCGTTGGTGGGAAGTATGTACTGTAAGTCAGCGTCTACTATCGAGTACGCTTCTGCTCGCCCCAGGGCGTCCTGAGGCAGATGCACATTCATCTCGTCCCCGTCAAAGTCCGCGTTGTACACACTGCGGTTAAGAGGGGTGAAGGAGGGTGAGCAGGGGCGATAAGGGGTTTATAGAGGTGAACAGGGATGCACTGGCACTGCAATTGACAGTACACGGCACACGCACATGCTGCGTGAAAGCAGTGGGTAACTCACTTGCAGTTGGCATAGTGCAGGCGAAGGGTCTTCTCCCCCTTGAGTCTATTCTGAGTGGGTGGGTCAGGCATCGCATTGTCCCTCCCAATCACCCACCCACCCACCCACACTTGAGGAGTCTATGTTGAGGCGCCTCAAGAAGCAACTCACTTGCAGTTGGCATAGTGCAGGCGAAGGGTCTTCTCCCCCTTGAGGATCTTCACTCGGTGCGCCATGATACCAGGGCGATGCAGCGTGGGCTGGATGCAGAGAGGGGGAAAGCAGGGAGAGGAATCAGGAAGAAAGAAGGCTTGAGTGTGATTCAGGCGAACGGTCTTTTCTTCTCCCCCTTGAGGATCTTCACTTGATGCGCCATGATGCCAGGGCGATGCAGCGTGGGCTGCAGGGGAGAGCGAGAAGAGAAGGACAAGAAAAAGGGGGAGGAAGGGAGCGGGGTTGGAAGAAGGGAGAGAATATGCTAGAAAAGGGGGTTAAGCATGTGTCGACGGGTCTTCTCCCCCTTGAGAATCTTCACTCGGTGCGCCATGATACCGGGGCGATGCAGCGTGGGCTGCAGGGAGAGGGGAGGAAGATCAGGGGCAAGAAGAAGATGAAAAATAGCCAAGGGAAGCAGGTTAAGTATGAAGCAACGTGGGATGGATGGACTTAGTATCTGGCCGGCTGGCCCAGCGGGGTTCAGAAGGCTTTATAGCATCCCGCATACGCAGATGCACATGGTAACATCTGGCTTGATTTTCAAGTCAAATCTTCCTCACCTGTCGGTTCACCAGCACCACATCCCCGTCCCGCATGTGCCGACACACCGACTTCACTTCACACCATCGCATGTTTATGTTGAGTCAAATTCATTCACCTTTACCTCACTGCTTCACACCATCGCATGTTTATGTTGAGTCAAATTCATTCACCTTTACCTCACTGCTACACCACACGACTCAACTCAACCATCTCACCTGTCGGTTAACCAGCACGACGTCTCCGTCCCTCATGTGCCGTGCCGATACACGGCAACTTTTAGGTTTGACCCAAAAAAGAAAGGCTTTCCTTCACCTGTCGGTTCACCAGCACCATGTCTCCGTCCCTCATGTGCCGATACACCGACTTCACCATCGCGCGTTAAAGTCAACTCAAGAATCACCTCACACACAATGCCCTTCCCCACAAACAACCCGTAGATCATTGCTTTTCTCACCTGTCGGTTCACCAGCACCATGTCTCCGTCCCTCATGTGCCGATACACCGACTTCACCATCGCGCGTTAAAGTCAACTCAAGAATCACCTCACACACAATGCCCTTCCCCACAAACAACCCGTAGATCATTGCTTTTCTCACCTGTCGGTTCACCAGCACCACATCTCCATCCCTCATGTGCCGATACACCGACTTCACCATCGCGCGTTAAAGTCAACTCAAGAATCACCTCACACACAATGCCCTTCCCCACAAACAACCCGTAGATCATTGCTTTTCTCACCTGTCGGTTCACCAGCACCACATCTCCATCCCTCATGTGCCGATACACCGACTTCACCATCGCGCGTTAAAGTCAACTCAAGAATCACCGCACACACAATGCCCTTCCCCACAAACAACCCGTAGATCATTGCTTTTCTCACCTGTCGGTTCACCAGCACCACATCTCCATCCCTCATGTGCCGATACACCGACTTCACCATCGCGCGTTAAAGTCAACTCAAGAATCACCGCACACACAATGCCCTTCCCCACAAACAACCCGTAGATCATTGCTTTTCTCACCTGTCGGTTCACCAGCACCACATCTCCATCCCTCATGTGCCGATACACCGACCGACTTCACCATCGCGCGTTAAATTCAGCTCAAGAATCACCGCACACACAATGCCCTTCCCCACAAACAACCCGTAGATCATTGCTTTAATCACCTGTCGGTTCACCAGCACCACATCTCCATCCCTCATGTGCCGATACACCGACTTCACCATCGCGCGCCGCACATGCACCCCCTTCCCCTCCACCGCCGCTCCCTCCCTTCCCCCTTTCTTCCCCTCGCCGTCCTTCACGTGGACACCTGTCGCGCGCTGATTGGCCGCGAGCGCAGCAGCAGAGGGGGTGGAGAGCAGCGTGCGGGCGAGGGCCCTCCGGCGGTCGGGGTTGAGGTGGGCGAGGGAGACGAGCTGCCCCCTCTCGTCCTCCACGTGTGTGGCTCCGGGTAACACGTCCGCCCCGTTCTCCACGAGTCGTGCCAGATACTCCACGTTCCAGTCTGTCACGGTCTGGTGGAGTAGGGCCAGAGGGGATGGGGCAGGGTAAGAGGAGGGCAGGGCAGGAAGGAAAGGAGAGAGTGGAAAGGAGAGAGAGGGCATTGAGAATGGGGTGGAGAGGAGCGTGCGGGCGAGGGCTCTCCGGCGGTCGAGGATGAGGTGCGCAAGGGAGACGAGCTGCCCCCTCTCGTACTCCACGTTCCAATCTGTCACGGTCTGGATTGATAGGGGAGAGTGGGGCGGAGGACGGCGGGGTAGGTAGGGAGAGGAGTGTGGAAAGCTTTTGAGTCGACTCAAAAGTGGATTGCTAGGGGAGAGTGGGGCGGAGGACGGCGGGGTAGGTAGGGAGAGGAGGAGTGTGGAAAGCTTTTGAGTCGACTCAAAAGTGGATTGATAGGGGAGAGTGGGGCGGAGAACGGCAGGGTAGGTAGGGAGAGGAGGAGTGTGGAAAGCTTTTGAGTCGACTCAAAAGTGGATTGATAGGGGAGAGTGGGGCGGAGGACGGCGGGGTAGGTAGGGAGAGGAGGAGTGTGGAAAGGGTGGGCAATGGGAAAGGCCCGATCAGATCAGCACCAGCCTTGCAAACTCTCCACATTCCAATCCGTTAAGGTCTGGTTCCCCAAACGTGAAGTGCTTACCTGAGCACGCTTCAGTGCCACCCGATAGCAAGAGGAAAATGACACCTGCCCACCAGAGAGAATACATCGGCTTCTGTTTCACAACCGGAGCATCTCTCTGTTTCACTACCTGAGCATCTCTCTGTTTCACAACCTGAGCATCTCTCTGTGTCACTACCTCAGAATCTCTCTGTTTCACTACCGGAGCATCTCTCTGTTTCACTACCTGAGCATCTCTCTGTTTCACTACCTGAGCATCTCTCTGTTTCACTACCTGAGCATCTCTCTGTTTCACTACCTGAGCATCTCTCTGTTTCACTACCTGAGCATCTCTCCGTTTCACTACCTGAGGATCTCTCTGTTTCACTATCTGAGCATCTCTCTGTTTCACTACCTGAGCATCTCTCTGTTTCACTACCTGAGCATCTCTCTGTTTCACTACCTGAGCATCTCTCTGTTTCACTACTTGAGCATCTCTCCGTTTCACTACCTGAGCATCTCTCTGTTTCACTACCTGAGCATCTCTCTCTTTCACTACCTGAGCATCTCTCTCTTTCACTACCTGAGCATCTCTCTGTTTCATTACCTGAGCATCTCTCTGATTCACTACCGGAGCATCTCTCTGTTTCACTACCTGAGCATCTCTATGTTTCACTACCTGAGCATCTCTCTGTTACACCACCTGAGCATCTCTCTGTTTCACTACCAAAGCATCTCTCTGTTTCACTACCTGAGCATCTCTCTGTTTCACTACCTGATAATCTCTCTGTTTCACTACCTGAGCATCTCACTGTTTCACCACCTGAGCATCTCTCTGTTTCACTACCTGAGCATCTCTCTGTTTCACTACGTGAGCATCTCTCTGTTTCACTACCTGAGCATCTCTCTGTTTCACTACCTGAGCATCTCTCTGTTTCACAACCGGAGCATCTCTCTCTTTCACTACCTGAGCATCTCTCTCTTTCACTACCTGAGCATCTCTCTGTTTCACTACCTGAGCATCTCTCTGTTTCACTACCTGAGCATCTCTCTCTTTCACTACCTGAGCATCTCTCTGTTTCACTACCTGAGCATCTCTCTGTTTCACTACCTGAGCATCTCTCTCTTTCACTACCTGAGCATCTCTCTGTTTCACTACCTGAGCATCTCTCTGTTTCACTACCTGAGCATCTCTCTGTTTCACTACCTGAGCATCTCTCCGTTTCACTACCTGAGGATCACTCTGTTTCACTATCTGAGCATCTCTCTGTTTCACTACCTGAGCATCTCTCTGTTTCACTACCTGAGCATCTCTCTGTTTCACTACCTGAGCATCTCTCTGTTTCACTACCTGAGCATCTCTCCGTTTCACTACCTGAGCATCTCTCTGTTTCACTACCTGAGCATCTCTCTCTTTCACTACCTGAGCATCTCTCTCTTTCACTACCTGAGCATCTCTCTGTTTCATTACCTGAGCATCTCTCTGATTCACTACCGGAGCATCTCTCTGTTTCACTACCTGAGCATCTCTATGTTTCACTACCTGAGCATCTCTCTGTTACACCACCTGAGCATCTCTCTGTTTCACTACCAAAGCATCTCTCTGTTTCACTACCTGAGCATCTCTCTGTTTCACTACCTGATCATCTCTCTGTTTCACTACCTGAGCATCTCACTATTTCACCACCTGAGCATCTCTCTGTTTCACTACCTGAGCATCTCTCTGTTTCACTACGTGAGCATCTCTCTGTTTCACTACCTGAGCATCTCTCTGTTTTACTACCTGAGCATCTCTCTGTTTCACAACCGGAGCATCTCTCTCTTTCACTACCTGAGCATCTCTCTCTTTCACTACCTGAGCATCTCTCTGTTTCACTACCTGAGCATCTCTCTGTTTCACTACCTGAGCATCTCTCTCTTTCACTACCTGAGCATCTCTCTGTTTCACTACCTGAGCATCTCTCTGTTTCACTACCTGAGCATCTCTCTCTTTCACTACCTGAGCATCTCTCTGTTTCACTACCTGAGCATCTCTCTGTTTCACTACCTGAGCATCTCTCTGTTTCACTACCTGAGCATCTCTCTGTTTCACTACCTGAGCATCTCTCTGTTTCACTACCTGAGCATCTCTCTGTTTCACAACCGGAGCATCCCTCTGTTTCACTACCTGAGCATCTCTCTCTTTCACTACCTGAGCATCTCTCTGTCTCACTACCTGAGCATCTCTCTGTTTCACTACCTGAGCATCTCTCTGTTTCACTACCTGAGCATCTCTCTCTTTCACTACCTGAGCATCTCTCTGTTTCACTACCTGAGCATCTCTCTGTTTCACTACCTGAGCATCTCTCTGTTTTACTACCTGAGCATCTCTCTGTTTCACTACCTGAGCATCTCTCTGTTTCACAACCGGAGCATCCCTCTGTTTCACTACCTGAGCATCTCTCTCTTTCACTACCTGAGCATCTCTCTGTCTCACTACCTGAGCATCTCTCTGTTTCACTACCTGAGCATCTCTCTCTTTCACTACCTGAGCATCTCTCAGTTTCACTACCTGAGCATCTCTCTGTTTCACAACCGGAGCATCTCTCTGTTTCACTACCTGAGCATCTCTCTGTTTCACTACCTGAGCATATCTCTGTTTCACAACCGGAGCATCTCTCTGTTTCACTACCTGAGCATCTCTCTCTTTCACTACCTGAGCATCTCTCTGTTTCACTACCTGAGCATCTCTCTGTTTCACTACCTGAGCATCTCCCTGTTTCACTACCTGAGCATCTCTCTCTTTCACTACCTGAGCATCTCTCTCTTTCACTACCTGAGCATCTCTCTCTTTCACTACCTGAGCATCTCTCTCTTTCACTACCTGAGCATCTCTCTCTTTCACTACCTGAGCATCTCTCTGTTTCACTACCTGAGCATCTCTCTGTTTCACTACCTGAGCATCTCTCTGTTTCACTACCCGAGCATCTCTCTGTTTCACTACCTGAGCATCTCTCTGTTTCACTACCTGAGCATCTCTCTGTTTCACTACCTGAGCATCTCTCTGTTTCACTACCTGAGCATCTCTCTGTTTCACTACCTGAGCATCTCTCTGTTTCACTACCTGAGCATCTCTCTGTTTCACTACCTGAGCATCTCTCTCTTTCACTACCTGAGCATCTCTCTCTTTCACTACCTGAGCATCTCTCTGTTTCACTACCTGAGCATCTCTCTGTGCCACTACCTGAGAATCTCTCTGTTTCACTACCTGAGCATCTCTCTGTTTCACTACCTGAGCATCTCTCTGTTTCACTACCTGAGCATCTCTCTGTTTCACTACCTGAGCATCTCTCTGTTTCACTACCTGAGCATCTCTCTGTTTCACTACCTGAGCATCTCTCCGTTTCACTACCTGAGCATCTCTCTGTTTCACTACCTGAGCATCTCTCTGTTTCACTACCTGGGCATCTCTCTCTTTCACTACCTGAGCATCTCTCTGTTTCACTACCTGAGCATCTCTCTGTTTCACTACCTGAGCATCTCTCTGTTTCACAACTGGAGCATCTCTCTGTTTCACAACTGGAGCATCTCTCTGTTTCACTACCTGAGCATCTCTCTGTTTCACTACCTGAGCATCTCTCTGTTTCACTACCTGAGCATCTCTCTGTTTCACTACCTGAGCATCTCTCTGTTTCACTACCTGAGCATCTCTCTGTTTCACTACCTGAGCATCTCTCTGTTTCACTACCTGAGCATCTCTCTGTTTCACTACCTGAGCATCTCTCTGTTTCACTACCTGAGCATCTCTCTGTTTCACTACCTGAGCATCTCTCTGTTTCACTACCTGAGCATCTCTCTGTTTCACTACCGGAGCATCTCTCTCTTTCACTACCTGAGCATCTCTCTCTTTCACTACCTGAGCATCTCTCTGTTTCACTACCTGAGCATCTCTCTGTTTCACTACCTGAGCATCTCTCTCTTTCACTACCTGAGCATCTCTCTGTTTCACTACCTGAGCATCTCTCTCTTTCACTACCTGAGCATCTCTCTCTTTCACTACCTGAGCATCTCTCTCTTTCACTACCTGAGCATCTCTCTCTTTCACTACCTGAGCATCTCTCTCTTTCACTACCTGAGCATCTCTCTGTTTCACTACCTGAGCATCTCTCTGTTTCACTACCTGAGCATCTCTCTGTTTCACTACCTGAGCATCTCTCTGTTTCACTACCTGAGCATCTCTCTGTTTCACTACCTGAGCATCTCTCTGTTTCACTACCTGAGCATCTCTCTCTTTCACTACCTGAGCATCTCTCTGTTTCACTACCTGAGCATCTCTCTGTTTCACTACCTGAGCATCTCTCTGTTTCACCACCTGAGCATCTCTCTGTTTCACTACCTGAGCATCTCTCTGTTTCACTACCTGAGCATCTCTCTGTT